ACCTCCTCCTATAATTGGATAAATGAAAACCATTAATTATACTAAAAAAGTATTTTCAAAAAACAGCATAGCGAAGGTCAAAAAAGTTGAACGGAACCATCCCTCTCACATTTCATGTTACACATTCATGTGATCGTACTGGTATTAATAAATAATGTTTCTTCTATCCATACAGTTATCTTAGGTAAATTACGTAATATACATTTTACAGTTATTATTATTATTTCTGGAACACCTTGTGAGAAATTAACCGAATGGTTATTCTGCAAATCCGATAGGTTGTTACCTTCGGCATGGTCAGTGTAATTTTATTTACGGAGATAATTTAAAGCCAGGTACGTACGTACGTATGTTTTAAATTGATTATTAACCAATTTGTGGATTGAAACTCACGTGAAACATATAAAATACTACAAGGTTCTATTTACGGTGCAGCAGTGACAATTATTAATCGATAATGCCCAGATAACCAATATAGATATAAATCTGGCTAAATATGACTTTCGATGCATATTCGCTGGAAAATAGTCGAAAAAAATTTAGAAGGGTTATCATTTGGACAATTGCTAAATATTCAGGTGGTAGCAGGATTCTAATAAGTCGAGTTCTCAAATAATTTCAAGTTGAAAGACTTCTGCAACTTGTAAGAAAAATACATCTACTAAACCTGAACGATATAAAATATCTTAAGACTTTGATGGAAGAAAATCTTAAGTGGTAATTACAATCAGAGATGAGATTTTGGTTCGGACGTAAAAATAGAGGTCATTTAAAGCCTTGTAATATTTTATGTTTCACGTGAGTTTTAATTTACAAATCAATTTAAAGCATGCGTGCGATTACACTGATCATGCCGAAATCAATAATTTATCGAATGGCAAAATAATCGTTCGCAAATTTTTCATAAGGTAACCCAGGGATAATGATAACAGCTGTAACAGGTTTTTGCACATTTTGAATTCTGACCTATTTGACCCGGGTTAGAGCAATTTTCGGCCCATGACCCGTAAAGCCTGGATAATAGCTTTACATACATTTAATATTAAAGCTAAAATTAATTACTATTATGACGTTAGCCATGAAGATATCGGTCATGAAGATATCGAGTGAACAATTAGGAGCCGTGTAATAATAATTGATATAACATAATTAATACATGTAATAAAATATAATAAATAAAATAATCAAGTAAAATATGAAATATATATCGATGAGGTATTAGATCGTTGGCGATTGTACCCCGGCCTTAACCTTACTCTACGCTAATTCTGGACATATAAACACCTGAAATGTTGTGCCCGTTGTTGACAGGTTTTAAACAATTAACTCACATGAGCTAGACGTAAGGTTTTATTCCAGTACTATTAACTATTATATCTAATGGTAGAAAAATAAGGAGTTTTGCGCCTGGATTTCCTCCAATGAATATACCGTTTAGATTCACCCTTTGCAAATCATTTAAATAAGAAAAAGCAGACCCTCCACTATCACCAAAAGTACCTGGATTTTGAATATTATTATGTCTTGCAATAATAATATTCTTGTTTATTAGCTCTCTTTGGAATATAGTCCTTATCCAAATACCATTAAATCCTATTATTTCACTACAGCTAATACCCGTGGCACAGCCAGATTTGCATATATGTGAACCATAGCTAGATAAAGTCTCACTCCCGTTGATAAATAACTCAGCAAATTGTTCAGAATTCTTATTCCTAATATTCGGTGATAACTTGACTTTACTATTTTTCATTATTCCAACGAGTGCAAAGTCGTGTGGTTCGTGAGAAATTCTGACCGGATTACCTAACAATATCTCATCATGATTTGAAGAAATTACAACCCGAGGGTCCAAACTTTCTTGGCTAAAACAATGCCCTGCAGTTACAAGCATGTCTCGATCATCATCTGCCTTTTTCCCCACAAAACCAACTGAACAACGGCCATGTATAAACAATATCTCATCACCATTTAATAAAATAGGTTGAATATTATTACGTCGTATATTATGATCAATTTCATTATCATTTATGGCCCGAGGCAAATTAGATGTCTTAGGTATCTTAGGTTCATGCCATATAATTGGATCATATTTTTTGATAGCTTTTACGAACTTCTCATAGTATCCATCAGGTTTACCTCCTAAACCTCCTAAATGTACAACTACATTATTAAGTTGAATATCAATATAAAATAAAACATTATCTGAAGGGTAATATTGAGTTTCTTTGAATATGTTATCCTGCTTTGATTGTAAATCAACAAGGGAATTAGATGCATGTTTAAATATTAATAAATCTAAGTATGGTCGCATCTCTGTCGAGTGTTTTAAAATATCAATAATAGAAGAATCCACATTATAGACGGCTATTTTATTCACTTTTGCATTTATAGTACTTCCACCAAATTTTGATTTGTAATTAGCTAGTAATGTAATTATGGTCTTATCTGCTGCTTTTAATATTTTATTATTACTTAAAATTTTTGGTATTTCACTTTCATTTACACGCCAGAATTCTGCTAATGCTTCTCGTGCATGGGTCATAGAAATGCTGTTTAGCAGGAAAATAAATAAAAAATTTAATAAAAAGTAGATATTTCTCATTATTACTCAGTTTTAAATATTATCGGTAGATGTTAACAAAGAAAGAGATGTTTATACTGTACTAATGATTATAGTGATGAGAAATTTATAGGTTTAGTCGAGTCAATATTCTAGATACGATTAACCCGATTTAGTCGACTAAAGTTAATATGGAGCCTTTGCAGTAGA